GGTGATGGTTAATGGTCCATTCTTGTACTGAGATCGTAAGGTTGTTCAAGCATTTTTTCCCTCATCTTCCAGGATAATATTTGGACTTTAGTGGGTGTTTGTGAGCAACACACTCCCTTCACATCTGTCTCGCCTAAAATGAATGATGTGCTCACTAAAGATTTTAGGTCAGGATTCAGGGAAATGCTTTGAGGATAAATAGACCCCAGTGAATAAGATACCTCTGATTTGGGACTGACTAGCCATGAGAAGGTGTGGACACTAGCTAAGATTCCATCCCTGCTTCAAGGGAATCTCAAAGTTAAAGGAAAAACAGTGATGGAGTTTAAAAATTAAAGATCTGTTTTTAACTGTTCAGGAAAGAAAAAACAATCAATAGCACGTCGACACCACCAGGCTTTGGATTCTTCTGTTCCAGTTTATGTTTATCTGCCTGTCCTTGGTTTCTTGCCTGGCACATTCTCCCCCTTTCAAAAGACCCTCATTCGAATGACTTTTGCTGATGAGACCAGTCTAGAGGTCCGCGGTACCAACTCTGGGACCCCGCTCCCTCTATCTGCCCCTTAGCTCTTTACTCTCCTCTTAGCTTATCAAAAACAAGTTTGTTCCAGAGCCCTAGATAAATCCTTTTCTTCACCGCCCAGCCAGTATGGTCAAACCTCAGAGAAAAGAGAACTAAACCGACTCTGTCCTAGCTTGCGAGAGAGCAAAGCTTAGCATCTGATACGCTGCCCCGCAGCCCTCCCAGAAGCGGTGAAGTTGAGAGCTGTAGCCTATTGTAGACTCCCCAGAGAGCCCTAACCCCGGTCCACACCAGATTCCCCCAGGGACCCGGGAACAAAGGCTGGGAGCCCGCGAGCGCAGGATACTTACCTAAGACCGTGAGCCGGGTGCCTGGACCGAAAAACTGCTCATACGAGCACAGAGGCGCAGCCCCACACTCAAACCCCTACAGTGCAGTGAGCTAGTATCCAGATTCCTGACATTCTCCCTGCGTCTTGGCCTCCCACAGGGCCTGGGAACCCTGTGCAAAGAAGCCAGCTGCCCCGAGGCTCACTGCTGCAGTTGCCAAATAGCTCACCTAGCACGGTCAACTGGCTGCCAGTTCCGAAAGTCAAGTCAAAGACTGAGAAGCATAACCCGGGAACTCGCAGAGAAAACCCTGCCAAGGCACCCGCACCCACTGCAACCCCAGCCCGCCGGCACCGCGCGTGGGGCCCCAGCTCACCTAGCACGAGGAGACGCGTGCCTGGCCCAAAGTACTGGGTCTCTCTGTTCACAGCACCAGAGCCCAGCACAAAAACACCCCAACTCACCTAGGACTGACAGTCGGGTGCCTGCACCGAAATACTGGGTGTTTTGGCTCACAGCCCCTTGGTACAGCACAAAAACTAGCCCTGGCTATTGTTACTTGGGAATCCCGGTAAGGAGACATTCCCCATCTTACCACCCCCATCACTAGCTCCAAACTTACCCAGCACGGTCAGTCTGGTTCCTGGGCCAAAATACTGAGTGTCTGTGCTCACAGCCTCCAGGCTCAGGACAAGAACCCGGTGTTGCCCACTCCTGCTATCCCAACCCTTGCTCAGAGCCCCATCAATCACAAGTGCCCTCTTGATCCCAGTATCCACTCCAGAAATCCTTCCACCTAGACAGGTCAGCTCAGGTGAATAGGAAGCTGTGCAGCTGTTCTACTCTGTCCATCTTACCCCCCACAGTCCCTCCCCAGCCGCCCTGCTTACCCAGCACTATCAGCTTGGAGCCTTCTCCAAAGTACTGCTGCCCGGTGTTTGCACAGCTCTGGGGTTACTGGCACAAACCCTGTCCATCCTGATTCAGGGCCTCGGATGGCTCAGTGCTTATTCTGCTAAGGCTTTCTGGCTCCAGGGGTCTCTCTGGCTATTATGCTGCCTCCCCTCCCACCTGTGTGGCCACTACCTTCTTACCTAGCACCGTGAGTCGCGTGCCTGGTCCGAAGTGCTGTTCAGCATAGGAACACAGCAGAAAAGGGCTGCCAAGAATTCTTCCTCTTTCTTCACCTTCCTTAGCATAGACTCAGGGTTGCCCGCTTTCCCCATCTACCTCCAGAACTGGTAAAGCAATCTGGACGCTGCACGAGGCAAACCTCAATTTGAAGAGGAGATGCAACATTTGGCTTGGGAATTAATATCCATCTAATTCACTCGGGGAATTGACACAGTGAACTTGAAATCTGAAGGCTTCCTTGTGGGGTTGGGTAGCCTCTGACCAGAAAAGACTTGTTACACCTTTCCCACAATGCGTTTATTTATTTATTTATTTATTTATTTATTTATTTATTTAATATTTTTAATGAGTTCTTAACTTATCGCTCATGTACAGATAGATACTTTGCCAAGGGTAAGCCTTATGAAAGGGGCTAAACAGTGATCCTACTCTCTAGATAGGCTTTCACATTCATGGGAGACTGTCTAGGACAAGGGGATGCATAAATATTGTAAGACCTTGTGAGATCACTCACATAGACCCCTTCCTCACATGACAAATGCATTCCTTGGGCTGAGCGTTGATGTTCTCAAGGGTAGAGCTTTTTGTAAAAGCGCCTCCTCTATTTGAATCATTGTGCCCCCCCCCAGTCCCCACAATGTTACACCATGATACAAAAATGTTTCATCCCCACGGATGCCCTCCCCCAGTGCTTTTCCTGCTTCAGACAGGGGCAGGAAGCCCAGGTGTTAGAGAGGTTAGGCCGACTGAGAGGGGCTGGGAAAAGGCGAAAGCTGGGCAAATTTAAAGAGAAAGGAGGAGCTTAGAGAAGATCTTGTTACTAATGGTGGTGCTGTTGATGGGGGTAGGGACCCCCTTTCTGATGGTGCTCTCACTCTGGGAGACTGTCTATGTCACTGGGTCTCCCCTCTTTGACTCCCAGTGCCCACCTGCTCAGGCTGGCATTTATAGTGAGGTGGGTGGGAGGAGTGAAGCGGAAGGGCCCCAGCAGGAGAATCCCCAGAACACAGAGACAAGTAGCTCTGAAACTTCCATCAGTCGTTGCTATTGCTTAATGGAGGACGTTCAGCTGCCTCGCTCACTTATTCCTCAAATATTTAGCAGACACATATATGTTAGGTCCCATGCTATTTGCAAGGAGATGCGTCCATCCTCAGAGTGGCATGTTCTGGTATGATTTCTCAGCCTTGATTTTTGATTATTCCTGTCTCTGACTCTTGCATCCAATAAATGGCTAGACTGTGAAACATGCCGCTATATTGTGTGTGATTTTTCTGCTGTCTCCGGTCAGCAGGACTATTCCATAGAGTGCACAGAGTGCACATTCTCACGCCTTTGTCTGATTATCTATCGGCAGTTTATCAGACAGTTCACACAGCAACTTCAAAGCAACAGCTTTTATTTCTGCTTTTTCTTCATGACTTAGTCCCTTTATAAAGAAATGGATTTCTTGGGGACGGGTTTAGTTAGCTCTGCTCCCTGGGTTTTCAAAAGTAACACATTACAGTTATATTTGTTTAGTGAGCGGGTAATGTGAACGCACATGTAAATGTATGTGTCTGTATGTAGCTAGACATGCATGTTTGCATAGATTAAACTCTGAAATCATACGCAATAGAGGGGGAAGAATGTGTGGAAGTGTAGATGACTGTTCTGAGAGGGCCCTACTGAGGTGACTGTGTCTAGTCTAATATAGGGTCACTTTTATTATTTCCCTCTTCATTCCCAGGTTTATTAAAGAATTACTACCAAGTGTCTATCCTGAAACAAAATTCCAGGGTACTATAAAAATAATATACTAGTTATGAAGGAACCACCAGTTACATGGGAGTTGTCAGGTAAGAACCAGTTCCCATTGAGTATGGTAAGAGTCGTGAAGGAGGTCTTTACAAGGTGTCAGACAACAAAATACAGGTTGTAACTTAGGGAGCTAGAAGCAAAGAGTGAGCAACAGATGCTAGGGAAGGCTCCAGGAAGAGAGTGAAGCCAATGCTTAAAGCCAAATAGGGTTTACCGAGGGAGGCGGGGCACCACAATGTTCCAGGTGGGGTTGGCAGGAGAACGTGCAGAATGGAATGGGAATATGAGAGGAGTGGGGCATGTAGGGTTATGAGGTAAAGTGAATCATCAGTTCTTTATGCCATCTTGAGGATGACAACTACCCCACCATGGTGACATGACTACCCCACCATGGAGACATGACTACGTTACCATGGTGACATGACTGTTCCCACCATGGGAACAACGAGAACACAGGAAGCTTGTGAATGTTTTCCTTCTTTTTTTTCCCCCAAAACAGGATTTCTTTGCAGCTTTGGAGCCTGTCCTAGAACTAGCTCTTGTAGATTAGGCTGGTCTCGAACTCACAGAGATCCACCTGCCTTTGCATCCTGAGTACTGGGATTAAAGGCATGCGCCACCACCACCCTTAAAGGTTTTCTAGATGAAGAAATAAGGCTTGCTTTTGATAAGAAGCTGCATTATTTGTACTTCTAGGCACAACCATGGGATGTTGTTTAAATCCCTCTATTTCACTAGCTAAAAATTTACCAACAGATTCATATCTTAAACAGAAGACACCTTTCCCACTGAAATAAAATTTTCCAAGACAGTGCATGATCATGTGATCAGCTGGGAACGTGGCTTGGTGAACAAACACTTGTGTTCATTGAGAGGCTGAAAGGAAGATTGGTGACACAGGGAACCAAGCCTTGTTAGTCACCAGGACATGACCAGTTGCAGAGGGATACATTTGTGTAACCTATGACTTCTCCCCAGAGTGCTTTTTGACAGTCAGAAATTTCCTGTACTCAGAACTCCTGTCTTTCTCTCTTGAAAATTTCTATTTTCCATCACCTCCCATTAGCCTCTTCTATTACTCTCAGGGTTGGGGCCCTCATTTTTCTTACCTGAACTGGCCACCACTTTTTGTTTTGAGTATCTCATCTTTCATGATTGATCAGGGAGTACAAAGAGAGACAAGAAATAAAGACATCTACACGCACAAGTTTGAGTCGGGTCATTCTAGAACAAGTTTATTGGTTATGTTTTTTGATTGTATATATGCTAGGTGCTCTCCAGGGCCCAGGGATTTCTGATGCAGATGGGTAAGTGCACATGACTAATAAGCAGACTTTGGGACACACAGACAAATGAGGACAACTCTTCAGAAGTGCTCAAAAAAGGAATCTGTATTAGCAACACAAGGGGTTGGAAGTTCTGGGCTCCGCCTCCAAGTCTGGCCTCAGGAATTCTTTCTTTTGACCTGCAGAAGAGAAGGGTTTTAGATTTACCAAGGGCCCAGTTCAGTGGAGCTTGAGGGGAAGAAGGAAGGCCATTCAGAGAAATGATAGGGCTCCTCAAGTATCCCTTGGGGTTTTGGGTTACCACAGATTGTCCTCTGCATGGCTCATTTATTGCAATTCTTTGAAGTTTCTGCTTGTCTTTTATGACATGGGAGCAAAATTCTCTCTATTGCTTAGCTCTAGTTCTGCTAGAGCCCCTCAACCCTTGGATCTTAATTTCTTGTGTACCGTGTATCACCTCCCCTGTATGGTCCATTTGCCCTTTCCTTACCATGGCCATCAGCACCAGGGTACTGACAAGCACAGCGTACAGGGTGGCCTTCCCCAGCAGGATCTCATAAAGGATGGTGGCAGACAGGACCCCTTGTTGGTAGGATGCTGGGTAGAGTAAAGGAAAACAGGTCAGTACCTTTGGACAGGCAGCTAACTGCAGTCAAGGTCATGAGACATGAAGAGGGAGTCAGCTCACCTGAGGTAATGCCACAATCTGAAAGAAAAGAGAGGCAGGAAAATAAATGAGACCTCTCTTTATTAAGCAGACTGAGAATTAAGTCAGCCTCGAGGCTAGCAGAGACTGACAGGTCAGCCTCCCTGGGTGGCCCCAGAACCCTCGTTCTTCTATGGTGCCAATGCTAACCTATTACTCTTGAAACCCATACATCCCTTAGGCACCAATAATAATGATTCAGAGGCTGCACTACACAATGCCATAGAATGGAAAGGAGACCCTACATGTAAGGCTGCTGGGCTGAGGATCTAGTGTTAGGATTAGCTGTAGCTGTCTAATTTTGTCAAGTTTTAGTGCCCTGCCATTGTTTTTTCTGTGTCTGGACTTTTTGGCTTCTGCCCGCATCTTTCCATTTCTTTTAGACACTAGCGATGCTCATTCGTCTTACCTGCTGCTCCCCAGGTCCCATGAACACACGTACCTGCGCTGCCCCAGGCCTCTGCACTGATGTTCTGGGTGACAGGCTTGGGCGGGGGCCCGGTCCACGAGTCTTCATCTGTAAGCCCATAGAACTGGACTTGGCAGCGGAAGCGGTTGCGAGGATTGTGCCAGAAGGTCGCAGAGACCCTCAGGCGGCTGCTCAGGCAGTAGGTGAGGTTATTTTTCTCCATGTAGGGCTGAGGGTCTGTGCTGACTCCACTGTGGACCTCCTTGCCATTCACCCACCAGCTCAGTTCCACGTGGTCAGGGTAGAAGCCCCTGGCCAGGCACACAAGGGTGGCCATTTGTTTGTCGACGATCTCTGCCTCTGATGGCTCAAACAAGGTGACCTTGGGCAGACTCACCTTGCTCAAATCCTCTGGAAATGAAGAGAGGAGGGCTGATTTGAGAGTTGTCTAGGTCTGGCTTAGACTGTGTGAGAGAGGCCTGGAAATGGTTATTCTAAAGCACAACTATGTCATAGTAGGTCCTGCTAGCTGTCTGCCACCATCTAACTCTGTTCTGGATCTCCCTTGATGCTCCCTCTCTCTTCTTTATGGGTTTATTTCTCCCCCATTTTCTTGAGGAGTCATACCCTGATTAGAAAGTTCTGGACACTCTTGTAATGCCTTATGCACTGTGACTTTGTTTGATCACCTGTGAAAAAGAATATATGCAGCTTTGTGTTTCAAAACCTTAATCCTTGCATGGCTATCTGATCTTTTAGATTTGAAATAGTGGAACAGGGAGAGCTTGAATTTTGAGGCAAAACTTTCATATTAACATCACAGTCCTAAGAGCTAAGGTGATTTTTTTTTTGCTTTTTTGCTTACTATTTTCCTTTTGGGGGTGAGGTGTAAATTTTAATGTGTTTGGGTGATTCTACATACTGTCAACATGTGTTGCCTAAAAGAGACATTTTCCCCCCCTTAACATCCAGAAAAGTCTCCAAGATTATGAATACCTTGCTCAACTCTTCCCGCCCCCACTCTCTTCTGCATGCAGCTTGCTTTGAGGTTCCAGCTTGTCTCTGGCCGGCTGCCTATCTGATGTTCCGCATCCACTCCTACACTGAGGTGTAAGAGGGCTGTGGTGGCTTGCTCAGGAAAACTGCCATGCTGTGGAAAGTATTATTCATACGTTGAACTCTTCTAGTTTTCCAGTGCTCAGCAAACCTCCTTGATGAGTTTCAGAATTCTAGTTCACAGCCTAACTTTGCAGTCCTTAATGGAGTGAAAGACTAAGTTCCTCTAAACAAATCTTAAAGCACAAAGAAGTGGGTCTCCACTGGAGTGGCCTGGGCCCCACATGCTAGGAAGAGGGGACAGAAAAAAACTTTTTAGGACTATTGAAAAGAACAACTCCCTCTGAAGATGGCGTTTGCACACAACCTCCAAGCATCCTTCCTTTATGTGGAATTTAATGTCCTCCCTCTCCGGCTGGGTTCTGACAGAAAAGCAAGGTTCTCATGCAGAAACATGCCAACAAGAGGTCTCTTTCTCTGTCTGAAGTTGAGGGCTTGTGGGGGAAATTGAGACATGGGTTTGGACAAAGACAAACAGTGTCTTGCAGGATAATGAGATGACTCCTTTAAAAGAATTCAGGAGAGAGAAAGGGTATGGGAGGAAGGAGAGAGGAAGAGGCAGGATGGGAGTGATGTAGAACTTCATTTATCAAGTTCTCAAAATTAAAAAACAGACCCATTCATTTTGACTTAGTCCTTTACGTTAATTTTAAATTGTCCTTCTTATTTTAGATGTCTTGGAGAGCCTGGGACAGCTTAGCATTTATTTATTTATTTATTTAGGAATATCACCCCAGACAATTCCCCCAATTTATTCCTTTGAACCTCAGGCATTTGAATCCAGTGTTGAGGAGTTTCCTTTAGCATCCATAGCATTTGTCCTATTTAGAGAAGAGTATCTAAGCAAGCTTCCAGTCCTGGGAGGATTGAGGTGCCCCATTCTTTCATCTTTTTCTGTCTCTCAGACATTATCACTTCCCTCCTCACTCCCCTAGCCTGTCTGTTTTCCTCCCAAGCACAATATCGGTTATGTTGGGCTTTCATGATAGATGCATTAGTTTATTATCCCAAGAAGTCCTGGGGTCTGAGGACCACTTGTCTATTTTCTCTTTTTTCGACATAATCTGGTGATAAAATGTCATTTTTTCTAGTTGTAAACTTAATCATATCTATGCCAAAGTTACCCACCAAGTACAAATAACTTCAAACTCCCTGCAGACAGCTAAAGCTCCCGCAATGCTATAAAAAAGACTTGTGACCGCTGCTCAGGATCAGCCTAATACCACCAGCCTGGTCCCCTCTGCCGTCTAGCCCTTAAGCCACACTAGGAAGGAAAACACAAGTCTTCAGAGACTGGTAGAGAGAGGGAGAAAGAGGAAGGCAGGATTGGAAGCCTGTACTAGAGTTCAGGGTGATATTTGAAATCAGAAGACAGAGCTATGCACCAAAGCAGGTCAGCAGCGCAGGAGAATGGGATGGACAGGGTGGAGAAGTGGTACTAGAGAGAAAACAAGCAGTGCACCGATCACAATGTACGGACGATCCGAGTCCAAGGAATAATAAAAAGGAGAGCCAGGAAACCCAAACCCCAAAGCAAAGGCATTCTGTGTGTAGAAGGAGAAAGCAAACCCAGGAATTAGCAAGCTACCAGGCTCTGGGGAAGGTTGGAGAGGGCACAGGGTTCCAGATGGGAACAGGTGACTCTGCCTTCCATTCCTATACCTAAGTTCCTTTCCCAGACCATCGTGATCCAACACAGGCACCCCTCCAGTCAGGAATAGAGCCCCCATACCTGTCACAGTGAGCCGGGTGCCTGCTGCAAAGTAGAGGGGCGAATTATAGGAACACAGCTGCAGGAGGCCTTGGTAAAACCCACCTGCAGTCCCGAGGCAGAGAGAGAGCCAGATGACTGGCACTCTCTGCCTGCAGGCAGGATTCTAGACTACAGAAATTCCAAGAGGCATGTGACAGGAGGGGGACGAGAGGAAGGGACTCAGGAGGCACACATCCGTGCAAACAAAAAAGGTAAGATAACCGTGGGAGGTAGAGAGGAGACTGCTCACAGACTGAAACAGTTGCTGGTTCATCTTGCCGTGAGGAACACAGAGAAGTCGCTTAGATCCCAGCAAGTAAAGCGATAACTAAATTCCTCGGCCCCTTCCGCTAGTGCTGGGAGTCACAGACACTCTGGCTCCACGGGACAGTAGCCCTATCTTCCAGTTCTGTAGCTTACCTAGAACAGAGAGTCGAGTCCCCTCTCCAAAATGCTGGGCCTGGTTGTTACACAGTACAACATGAGAGTGACAAACCCCTGAGGAACTGCTGGGACCTTCCTATGTCTCCACACAGAATCCCCGGGGCTGCGACACAACACAACCTTCTCCACCCTTTCATCCTCTCTGAGCCACAACCTAGGGTAAGTTTGCTCTTTTTTCCTTCTCCAAGGAGCTCCCCTGCACCCCGAGACTTACCACATACCCTCCGGAGAAAGAAACTTTTTACATACCCAGGACAGACAGCTTGGTTCCATGACCGAAAAATAGTCTTTCGTTGGAACACAACATTAAAACCTGGTGGTAAAACTGTCTCCTGCTCTCTGTCCGTCCTCCTCATGCCCACCTGCCAGCTAGCTTCCCTCATCCCCGAGGACGGTTTGATCTCTGGGCAGTGGAAGGACAGGCAACTATGCAGTATTAACTAATGAAATTGCTAATCAGTTTTTTGTGGTGGGTCCATGCATCCTCCTCTCTGATGTCTGTCTTCTCTTTGTGTGAGAGGACCAGACAGCAGGACTAGGGGCAGTATATGCAGCTGATTCCCAGGGGATCCTACACTCGGCAGGGTGCCCAGGGTTGACTTAGTCGGCCTGGGAAATACTGAGACTGGACATTCTTCCCTGCTTGTAAGCATGAGCACAGACATTTAGATCTTCCTGTCAGATGAGCACTGCGACACTGTAGGCACCCCAGATAGAGGCTGCCTTGGGCCCTAACTTACCTACGACAGTGAGCCGGCTTCCTTCTCCAAAATAGAGCGTGTTTCCAGAACACAGCCTCCTAAGTCCACTTCAAAACTCTGCACTCTCTGTGAACCCACCTCCTTTCTCTTTCCTGTCCTCTGTCCCAGGCTCATCTTGACCCAGCCTGGAACCTTCAGAGCACCTTTGTGCAATCAGCCTCCCTAGAATGTCATCCCAGGTAGTAGCCGGTTTCTCCCTCAAGCAAGACCCATGAGCAGCTCCTTCTTCTGGTTCCCAGGACATAGTCAACCTTTCCACCCCACACCCAAACACCCTTAGGCCTTACCTAGTACCAAAAGCCTGGTCCCTGAGCCGAAGGTGTAGTCGTAATTTGCACAACAGAATACAGGTACCTGAAAATGGGCATCGAGGACACGCCTTGTCCTGGTGATTTACCTGAAAGATATCTTACCTATAACCGTGAGCCTGGTTCCTTTACCAAAGAAAACTTCTGTGTTTGCACAGTGCCGTGGGGCAAGGAGGAAAACCAGCTTAAGGTGTGAAGAGATGATGGTCGCGGCTAGTGTCTAGAAGACCCTAGGAGGAGTAATACCCTTGTGTGCTTTATGATATTGTACACCAGAACATTTTGATATTACGTTTATGGGAATGTAGAACATAGCAGATTCCATCCAGTAGGACATACATCTCTTTTGTGAAGGATGCTCTCTCTATATCGTCTCTCTCTGAGGGTCCATCAAAATGAGGGAGGCTTGCAGAGAGCAGGTTCCTAGGACCAGCTTAGAGCTGAGATCTCCGTGGTTCTTTTTGAGCAATCTGCAGAACCGTTCAACTCTGGTTGACCTTTCCATTGATGGTGGTCTTTTTCCAAAATGGTTGTCTGAAGGGTGTCCCTGCAGCCTCTGCCTCTGGGGATACTAAATCATTCTTCTTATGTTTGCGTTGCTTTTGCATAGGAGAATTTCTTTGATAAGGCCCTATTCTTTTCCATGATCTTGGTCTGGCAGGTAGCAGAGGTGGAGTGGAAGCATTCCGGATCTGAACACTTCTAGGCCTGGGTCCTAGGAGAAAAGCAGAGGACTGTGGGCCTTAGGACAGATAGAGAGGTTTTTGTAAAGGTTTCCCATAGAATTGAATCACCGTGCCCCCTGTCCCCACAATGTTACAGCTTTATACAAAAACAACCCACCCATAGGTCCACCCCTTGGAGGCTGGAAGAAACCACCAGAACAGCTGCTCCTTTGAGGGGAGTTGAAGCTAAGGAAGGTGACATTTCCCCCATTGTGCAAGGTGGTGCGAGAAGAGCAACAACAGGGAGTTTCCTCCTTGCCCCTGGCCTTCTTTTGTTTGTCCTTTGTTCTTAGAGCTGGGTGTCACTGCAACGCTGTTTACTGAAGGGGCTGGATCCCCTCTAGTATCCGCCCTTCTCAGGTTGTCATCATTTAAGGGAACCACCCACTCTATGAGGAAGTGACAGCCCCAGTCTAGCCTGGCTCTGCCTGTGCCCCAAGGTGGTGCATCCCCCAGAGGTGACTGCTTTCTCCCAAGAGTAAGACTGCAGTACACAGACTCTCTCTCTTTGTGAAGGACTCAAGCCTTCTCCAGGGTTGACTAGACTCTGGACTTCTTAGAACAATGGTGAAGATGCACCATCCTTCCAGGAATGGGTATGAAATGAGGTGAAGTGACTACAAATGTTTAAACTCATAAACATAAAGGAGACGGGACAAGGGAGACGGGGACAAAGGCTGCACAGAGACAGTTTGTAAGTCTTTCTCATATATTCACAGGCCATGTGATCATCGCTGCATTGTAGTCTTCTCTGAAGATGTTTCAAAGCATTGGTAGACATTTCAATTTTCCTGGCTCAAGATGAGTCTGGCAGGGAGTGGAAGCCCACACACCCTAGCACTGAGAGACAGAAGCAGGCAGATATGTGAGTTTGAGCCCAGTTTGGCCAATATACAGATAGGGCTACCCTTTGAGACTCCATCTCGACAACAGATGAACTGACTCTGAAATCCAACCTGCCCTTGCCTGCCCTGCGTATCCCCTCCACACCCCATGATGTTTCTTTTTATTGCCTGTCAAGTAGTGACTTAAAACTCAGGTGAAGAAAAGATAGACTTGACTATGTAATTTTGTCACATTTGTATAAGACATAGGAACAGAATTAAAAGCTAAGTGAAAACCTGGAGAAATATTTTCAATTCTCACCACTAGGACTAAAAATCAATGAAGAGATAATTCGACAGCTCAATTCAAAAAAACAAAAAACAAAAGCAAATAGCAGATGTTTTAGAGAAAAAAAATCAAAATGGTGCTTAAGCAGAGGGAAAAGTTCTCATCATGGTAATACCAAAATACCAAGAAAACACATTGAAAGAATGCCTTGCAGCAATTTGAAAATTGGGCTATTAGAGACTGTTTTCTTTGTGACTTCGTAGAGAAATAAAGATGTTAGTTTATTTGTTGCTAGCAGAAATAAAAATGATAAAAATCAACCCATATAGAAAATAACTAGAAACAACAATGAAACAACAAGTGCGTTCTCATTTTTATTTTCACCCAGAAATCTCACCCCAGGAAACTGACCTTGTAGGTACAATTGCATGCAAATGAAATTTTAGCACTTGGGAGGCTGAGGCAGAAAGATCGCTATGAATTTAAAGCCAGTCTGGTCTACAGAGAAAGAGCTTGTCTCCAAAAGTCCAGAAAGCTTAGGAATTAAAACAGTTTAAACGAGTGTGCAATAACTGTGTCATGTCAGTATGCTCTCTCACACTCACTGGTAACTGCAAAGAACAAACTGGGGAATTGCATCGGTGTAGGCGGCCTTTGGTTGAACTCATGGAGCTGGGCATAAGAATTAACTAAAGATCATCCCAATGGACTTGTTTATATGACTTTTCATAAAGAAATCTGCAAAGAAGGCTGGCAGCAATTCATTGATAATTGCTTGCATGATGGAGACTGTGGGTTTGAGTCCCCAGAACTGCAAAATAAAACCCAAAAGAAAAGCAGGTAAAAAGACAAAGCAAACTAAGGCCATTACCCCCAATGACAATGGCAAGGGTATCTAAGGCCTTTGCCCCCAACAACAGTGGCACAGAGAGAAACAGAGCACAGCCCTTTTCTCAGTGCTAATTCTAAGGCAGGATTTCAATTTTGGAGCCATATACCTATAGTACTTGTTTTAAATGAAAAAAAAACCAAAGGGAATAAAACTAATAAAATGTCATTTTATATTAAAAATATGAAAATCTGCTGAAAAAAGTACTTAGCTTCAAGGTATTACTCTTTCCAAATATTGGTTTATTAAGAAGCTGTTTTGTGACCATCTTTTAGCTGCTAGAGGCCTGGGCCCCTCAGGAAGCTTGTCAGGGTGCAGATCTCTAGCCAATTCCCTTGAGCTTCTGAATCAAGTCTCTAGGACCGGGTTTGCTAACATAGTTAAATAAATAACCAGGTGTTCTTAGGTATGCCTTTGTCACAGCAGGAGGCCTGCTACTTCCTGGGCCAAACAGGAAGTTGTAAAACTTGGTTAACCCCAGAGTGCTAGCTCCTGGGGCCCCGAACTGGTGCAGGGCATAGGAGAGACAGTCTGTGTGTCTCATCAATAGGGCAGATCTTACAACCCCACTGTAAGCCAGAGTAAAAAAGTCAGTCACTTTGATCGTTTGGAAGGTGGTAAAATCTACTCCTCATTCTTTTTTTCCGTTGAGCTACACATTTTATTTTGATCTAGTTTTTCACCTTTTGATTTCTCACAACCCTTTCCTAGCAACGATTTATTCATTAAGCCAGAGTTTCCTATTAATCATGTAGCTGGGTATCTTAATATTTTCTGGCCTTGAAGATAATAGTACCATGTGTCTTAGTGTTATGGGTTCTGGTAGCATTTTTCCAGTTTTCTCATCTGCGCATTGAGACGTAGTACAAAGGTGGCAACATTAAAATAAATAAAATAAAATAAAAATTTATCCATCTATTCGTCCGTCCATCCGTCTGTCCATCTGCCTGTCTGTCTATTCTTTTATTTACTTGCTCACTAGTTTATTCACTAATTCATTCATTTTTTTTAACCTGTCAGAAATCATGTTGTAGTCGTTCATATATATGGACAGCAGGGGGCAGCCTTTCCTTATTCAATTTCTCTCTCTGTCTCTGTCTCTCTCTCTGTCTCTGTCTCTCTCTCTCTCTCTCTCTCTCTCTCTCTCTCTCTCTCTTCCTCTTTCTTCCTTTTTAAGACAGGGTTTCACTATGTAGCTCTGGCTGTCCTGGAACTCACTA